CAAATATAAACAACTTTCTAAACTAATTAGCACGTCTTTACGCTTTGATCGGTTTTTGTAGCTGGCCTTAAACTATTCTCAACGCATAATTTTAAACTTTTAAATTTAATCGTTTTCAAATTGATTTAATATGTATGTAGCAAATAACAAACCGGAACCTGTCTAGACTTTCGCACTAACAGCTTTAATCACACTCAATCTTCCAAAAAGTATTACCTCATTTTGATATTTCACAATGATATTCAAGGCCCGAGGGCCATCCGAGGCAGAGGATTACAGAGTAATATACACACCTTATGCGGATATGTAGGGAAGATAACGGTTAAGATTGTAATGATAAGGAGAAACATTTTCTTGAGAGACGGTTCCACAAGGCCGTGGTTTAAGTGGCTCTCACCAGAGGAATATTAAAGGAATATGGGTGGTCCGCTACAATATGCATAACATCACGGGTCTTAGCCGGGAAGTTTAGGACTAGTGGATCTAAAGGGTGTTGTTCATTTTAACACTCTCCATGGGAATAGCGATAGAGCAGCGAGAGGCTTGCGACGTCTCGCCTGTGAGAAAACGGTGGTAGGATAGAAAATAATTCATCACCCACAAGGATGAGGAGACGATTTTGGACTCTATCAAGATCGGATAGTGAAGCCGGCAGCTCGTATCCATATAGGACTGCAGCACTTATTTTGGAGCCAGTTGAGTTCTTGGCATGGAACCTCTCCGAGTAAACATCCGTTCATCAATTTTGGTGAAAGTTATAATCCGATCGGCGATGGTTCTTTATAGTACTAAGACAATCACTTTAAATTACAACTAAAAAAGAATCTCTGTTTGCGCCAAGACTCGGACTTGTGTTAAATGACTGAGTTCTTCATTGTGTGTGTTTTATAACCACTCTTATTTCGTTTTTAACATATGTCAAATAAATAACCTCAGAAACCAATTTAACACCCAGTATTCTTAAACGGCCACCCATCTAGATACTGACGAGGCTCAACGTTACTTAACTTCCATGATCGTACCGGAACCGGTGCCTCAGCGTCATCTGCCGTAAGCCCTCCATATCTAATCGGAAATCATACATACAATCAATAAAAAGGAATCGAACTCAGGCTAAGCTGTGATAGGGGTAGACATCTTCTCTCGATATATATATATATCGAGTGTAACATTAAAGCATTAATTAATAGATGTCACTCAAAAATTACTCAAACTGTTTAGGGTTTCACTTCAGATGCAATTGATTGATTTGAATGATCCATTTTCTTATCGAACCTTTCCAGGTTATTTTAAATCCAGAAATATTTTAGATTGTTAGATTTTGCATTTAGATAATAAGGGTTTGTTGATAAAAGTCTTACTAATTAACCTATAGCTGGGGGTAAGCGATGAATTCTTATCATTAACAAGGGTATTTACTCGTAAGTGAATATAACGAACCCAAATGGAATTGGAACTCGGCTCTCCGATTCAACATTCCGAGGCGTTATCCATGACAACACCCGCATATCGAAGCTTATAGCACTTGGTATTCTCAAGCTGTCACCCATCTAGGTATTGACGAGGTTTAACGCTACTTAACTTCGATGATCATACGGGAACCGTAGTTTCAGCATCATCTGGCCATAAGCCTTCCAGATTTTAAGAAAACTCATACATATAATGCATAAAAAGCAAGTGAACTGAGGATTAATTTGCGATATGGGTAGCCATATTCTCTTTCTCTCTCTCTCTCTCTCTCTCTCTCTGTATATATATATATATATATATATATATATATATATATATACATATATATATAATTGATATATACAGAATGAATTCCAATAACCAACAATTAGTATTCTTAAAGGAGGGCTCAATACAAAGTAGAGCAGATATAATTATTATTTATAAAAAAAAAAAAATTTCTAACATAAATATGTTATAAAATCACTATTTGTTTCCATTTTGTTTCCACACCCCGTGTCTTATCAAGATCATTCTTCAACATCATCACTTGATAAGACACCGAGTGTCTTGAAACAAAATGGCTATTTTGTAGTGATTTTATAATATATTTATGTTATAATTTTTATAAATATTAACATATATATATATATATATATATATATATATATATATATATATATATATATATATATATATATATATATATATATATATATATATATATATATATATATATATATATATATATATATATATATATATATAAAAAAATTGTACAAATCGTATAAAAGGAAAAATGGCCGTTTTAAGATTAAGCATTGAACCGCTGTATCTTAGAAATGATTAAAGATATCTTACTGGAATTCTCCGAAGTTTTTATAATACAATTGGACTTTACTTTGAGCAATAAAAATGTTTATTTACTCTCCAAGCTTAACAGAAGAATCGTTATGAAATTGATCATAAACGAAAATTACATGTTCATCATTAATTAATCATAGCTAAGGATCGGTAGCTCATGCAGAATTGAAATGAATTCCATATATATATATATATATATATATATATATTATTCCAGGATCCTTTTCCAGCTTATTCAAGACGATCTTCTCCCTCTGTAATCTTCTAAGCACTTGTTCTGGAGTAACAAGTTGCCTCAAAGGTTTCACGTATGATTTTATTTTAAAGTCTTTTTTCCCTGCTCTTTGGAATGTCAAACGTCTTATGGATTGAGTTGGATCTTTTCTAAATGATCTCTTTACCTCAAAGTTGAAATGATGATCCCTCTTCTTGTTGTCACCTCCTAATCCACTTTTCCTCTCTACTCTTCCCTCTTTTTTAAAACTTATTCACCGTTCTCTTGATGGTTCTTGAATGGACTTTGAAGATGGAAGCTATAGTATGAATGTTGGTGCAATTACTGAAGGCCTGAATGATGTTTTCCCTCTCAACATTGCTCATTTGGGAAGACAGTTAGGCTGAGACAAAGCGATTTTAACCTGTTCTCTTTCTAGCTGAATAACTCAGTGTTTTTCAGATATTCTTACGACAAATGGTGTCAAGATGGCTGAACCTCTGTTCTGAAAACCTAGTAAAAAGAAAATCAGTTTGTTTACTGGTTTTCTAGATATTAAACATTTTATGGACTGGGCAGTTATGCTTTAACACTATTTGGGCACATTTGCTGTTACACTCAGTATACTATATATATTTGTGTGTGAGTATGTGTGTGTGTGTGTGTATGTGTGTTTATAACAGTTATTTTGCATAGGTGAGGATATTCACTTTTGTTGTTAAGTAAACACGAGTTCCTCCATATTTTGTAAAGATATGTAGTAAAATTATGGTTACTGACATCAACTAATATGTCAAGGAAAGAGATTTTACTGTTAATGTTGAGTTCGTTAATAGAGTCTATAAAAGAGTTTTACTCAATGTTTCTTTCTTCTTTTTTTCTTCTTTTTTTTTAAGGCTGTATGTTAATATGACTATGGTGTCGATATAACATGAGTATATACGAGCGGCTTGGTGGAATTATCTAAGATTTTGATTTTCCACATAATACATTTAGAAATTGGTTATTATTAGTTCGAAGGTCGAAACCATCGCTACACCGTCAATTTGTATATAAATATTGGTCGCAAAAAGGTACTTGTGTCGTGCAGGATGGAAGAAGTTTTCGCAGAATAGTTGGTCGAATTTTAAGAGGTGAGAACGAAGAGCGGTTATATACGTTCTCCAGTACAATGTCTATAATTTATTTAACGGTGATAATAGTGAATAGTCTTTCACCGTTTAGGAAGGCTAGGATTTGGTTTGTTAGACTGAAGTATAACGAGCAGTTCGCTAGTGGAATTAATTCTATATTTACTGAATAAGTATAGAAGTATCTGTTTGTTTAGGGATATTGTTAGTTGATATACAGGAATTGGTATTTGTGAGATTATGGCACGTAGTGGAGTATCAATTTTCTGAGGGTTTTATGTTTCCGTATATTTAGTCAATTTTGTGGAGCTTGAGAGAATCGATCTCCGTGTTGTTAACTGTAATCTGTTTATTAATTTGTGATATATATTAGTTGTATTTGAGAAGAAAGCTGTCATCTACAAACTACGAAAGAAAATAAATCAGTTATACAAAATTTAGGATTGGAGATAAGAAAATTGAATATAGGGTAGGCATTTCTAAGGATAGTTTCGAACAACAGCACAAGTTCCTCCCAAACGAAAATATGACAATTAAAATATAATTTCATATAGAAAAGAAAAATAATTTTTAACAGAGTTACACTGTACTAAACTCTCGGAAGATTATTTGTGAAGTACCTTAGCACTATTTGGGCAGAACTGGTTCCTTTATGAATTAGTTTCACACACCCACAAACATACACACACATACACGCATATATATATATATATATATATATATATATATATATTATATATATGAATATATATATATGTTTATGTATGTATATATATATGTATATATATATATATGTATATATATATATATATATATATATATATATATATATATATATATATATATATAAAAGATAAAAGAATGAAACGTTCAGAGATCAAATTAAACAAAGAAAAAATAAATAGTTCAAAAATAGAAATAAAGACAAAAGAAAGAAAACAAAAAAGGGGAAAAAAGAAAGTAAGAATTAGTTCAGTTATAGAAAGAAAGAAAGAAAGAAAGAACGAGAGAATGAATGGAAAAAAGAAAAAGTATAAAAGAAAAGAAAGTATTGTTTTAGAAATATCAAGAAAGAAACAAGTAAGAAAGAAATCATTAGTGCAGAAATAGAGAAAAAGAGAAAAAGTAAAAATAAATAGAGAATTATTTAAGAATTAAAATGAAAGAAATAATGAAAAAAGAATGAATTAAAAAGAAAGCAAATAAGAAAGAAAGAGTTTATTCAGAAATAGTAAGAGAGAAAAATATAAAATGAAATAAACAAACAAATAATGAGTTCTGATATAACAAGAATAAAAGTAAGAAAAAGAGAAAAGAAAAGGTAAAAGAAAGAAGGGATTAGTTTATAAATAGCAAGAAGGAAAGAAAGAACGAATAACTACAGAAATGAAAAGAAATAAAGAAACAAAGAAACAGTTTGAAGAAAGAGAGAAAAAGATAAAAAGCAAAAGACAGAAAATAAGTTTTTGAGAAATAAAAACAATGAAAAAGGGAAGTAGTTCAGAAATAAAAATGATGTGCTTTAGAAACAGAAGAAATAAAGTAATAATTCACAAACACAAAGAAAGAAAGAAAAATATGTTATAGAAATATGAAGAAAAAAACAAGAGTTAAATAATAGAAAAAAAAAGAAAGAAGGAAAGAAACGAACAAATCAAGAAAAAGAGAGAAAAAAATAAGAGAAAAAGAAAGAAAAAACTAATTCAGAAACAGAAAGAATGGATCAGCTCTGAAATAGCAAGAAAGAAAGAAAGAAAGGAAGAAAGAAAAAAAGAAGCAAAAAAATCAATAAAACGAGAAAAAAGATAGGAAAAAAGAAAGAAAAAAACGAGTTCAGAAACAGAAAGAATGGATCAGCTCTGAAATACCAAGAAAGAAAGAAAGAAAGAAAGGAAGAAAGAAAAAAAGAAGCAAAAAAATCAATAAAACGTGAAAAAAGATAGGAAAAAAGAAAAAAAATTAGTTCAGAAACAAAGAATGGATCAGCTCAGAAATAGCAAGAAAGAAAGAAAGAAAGAAAGGAAGAAAGAAAAAAAGAAGCAAAAAAATCAATAAAACGAGAAAAAAGATAGGAAAAAAGAAAAAAAATTAGTTCAGAAACAGAAAGAATGGATCAGCTCTGAAATAGCAAGAAAGAAAGAAAGAAAGAAAGGAAGAAAGAAAAAAAGAAGCAAAAAAATCAATAAAACGTGAAAAAAGATAGGAAAAAAGAAAGAAAAATATTTCAGAAACAAAGAATGGATCAGCTCAGAAATAGAAAGAAATAAAGAAAGAAAAAAAGAAGCAAAAAAATCAATAAAACGAGAAAAAAGATAGGAAAAAAGAAAGAAAAAAACTAGTTCAGAAACAGAAAGAATGGATCAGCTCAGAAATAAAAAGAAATAAAGAAAGAAAGAAATGAAGAAGAAAATAGTTCATGAAAAGAACGAAAGAAAAATTTATTACAGAAATATGAAGAAACAAACAAAAGAGTTAAGAAATAGAAAGAAAGAAAGACAGAAGAAAGGAAGAAAGAAAAATACAAACAAACAAATCAAGAAAAAGAGAAAAAAGAAAGGGAAAAAGAAAAATTATTCAGAAATAGAAAGAAAAAAGAAAGAAAGAACGAAAGAAAGAGCATAATTCTTATAGAATCGTAATTTGAATATCCTGCATATGTAAAATATAGTGTCCACGGGACATTCATTGCAGTAAAACAAAATGGAAAATTTTTTGACTTAATTAATAACGACAAACACGATTTGGGTGGCTGCAACTGATATACATTTTATTAATAAGGCGTTCTCTATTAATATTAATTTGGATTAGCATTTCCTTTCATCTTCCAGTTTGTTAGTTTTTCTTTATCGCAGCTGTTATTCAGTCCTTCAGTTTAGAACAATATGTAGACAAGGCAGAATTGGACAGAAGGAATAATTCACAGTGAGATTTCATCGGAACCCCGTCCCATTGGCCTCGAGGAAGCCTGATGAATACTCATCTGGTTTAACTATTAAGCTACGTTGACTTGATGGCTTTGTAAAGAGCAAATCTAAACTATAATCCAATACTCCATTCCATGACCTCGCTTAGCGCCAGATATTTTTTCACTAGTAGTAAAACCAAAATAATAGTTGTTTTCTATTCGTCACTTATGTTTAAACCTCCAACTCTTCAATTTTTGTACAATTCTGATGATTCTGAATTTTTTATCATAATGAGGCTCCTTGTCTGAAATGACGACTGCGCCTCATGGCCAGTCTTCAAATGGATTTTCTTGCAACCTGTATATATATATATATATATATATATATATATATATATATATGCAGTAGAGGTAATCGATCCGTTGGTATATAATCCGGGTGGACCCTAGTAACATTAATTATTAAAACCCAGAGAGTTTGATATATTTATTATAACAGAGCATATGTATATTTTCACAGCAAAAAAAAAAAAAAATTATCTCAACATGGGAATAGTCTATTTCAAGCTGGTCTGTACACAGCTATCATAAGTGTCTGCCTCGAAGCCTTGTTTTAAATTTATTTTCAATGTCAGTCCATTCCTGGTAGACGCCTTTTTTAATGGGAAGGGGCTTGTGTTAGCGACTCGTGGAGGGCGTAAGTTATATATATATATATATATATATATATATATATATATATATATATATATATATATGTGTGTGTGTGTGTGTGTGTGCGTGTGTGTTCGTGTACTGTGCCTGTGTGTGTGTATTTAAGCAGCAGGTTCTCAGATTCTCTTCTAGGCATTTATTTTCAAGTACTTTCCATCTCTTTCTGCGATCATCATCAGGAGTGTAAATGGTAAGAAAAAAACTATATATGTATAGCGATCCATTACTAAATTTTTTCTACGTTAAAATGCAACGGCTGACATCTCCTGTATCATTCGATTGTAGTACACGCAAAACTATCCGTGAATATAATATGGATTATGATAAAATAAGCAGACATAATGTTTGTAAGTTATATATATATATATATATATATATATAAAAGATTACCTAAGTTTTCAATATCCATTTTATCCCGACATCGATGTTTCTTGGTAAAATTCCAGTTTCCTGGGGTTATTACCAAGAAACATCGATGTGAGGATAAAATTGATATTTAAAAGTTAATTAATTTTTCATATAATTTTATTAACACTCTAATTTTAATATCATTTTAATATTTTTAATATTGAGCAATGTATATGAAAATATCCGCTGTTTGTTAAATCCTAAATCTTATATATATATATATATATATATATATATATATATATATATATATATAGAGAGAGAGAGAGAGAGAGAGAGAGAGAGTTTGTCTGACGATCGCTAAAGCGTGAAACCCAACGTATGAGGGTCAGGCAGATCAGTTCCCAGGAAACCGGCTGCCCGACATCAGCACATGAGATTTGATTATAGTGATGAAGGTTTCGTGCAGTACCATCCACACTTTTTGAAGGGACGAATACAGAGACTTGGTGCACTACGTGCTCCAAGGTCTCCAAACGACCCTCCGAAGGTTTTGAATTCAGAGTTGTCCTTCTCCTAGTCCAGTTGCTATCCACGGCTATAGAACCCAATCTGTTCGGCTATTTACCCATAGCTGGCGGGAGAAGAAGAGGATTCCTACCTTTCCCAAGGCTATTAGCACGTAAGTGAATGTGATGGATTCGACTGGAATTCGAACTCGGCTCTACGATTCCATATATATATATATATATATATATATATATATATATATATATATATATATATATATATATATTGCAGTCAATACCAGAGGTGACAGTTTGTTTCATGCTAAACGAAATAGTCAGGCCATGAAACAGACATGCATTTAGGTTCTATGCCCACTTCCATATTTACATATGCTCTATGCCTGATATTGAACACGTTAACCCATATATACATTAAAACATATTTAAAATATATATATATATATATATATATATATATATATATATATATATATATATATATATATGAGATAACGATAAATACTTTTATATATCAAAACAGTATTGGAGAAATTGTATGACAAAGTGGAAAAAGTTTACCTGTGACGCGTTTTGTTCTTCAGGGCTTCATTTTAATAAATTTCTTATGTTAGTAGGACTACACATGCGCACTACAGAGAGTTGCTGGTAATTTTAGAATTTTTTTTTTTTTTATCCCACCGAATTCATTTCGCGTCTTTTTCTTTTTCTTTCCATCATTTTTGTAATTAAGTATTCCACAATGTCATATTAGAAGATATGTCAGGATTTGTGAAATGTTGTAATAGACATGGTGCAAATTTACTGTAGATGACCTTGCGATTAATGGACTCTCTAGAGATTTACTGAGTAGTGAATTATTTCTTCTTTGATCAGAGAAGCTCAAGAACACATGGCACAGTAGATAAAGTCGTTGGTTAGATCCAGTGAGAGGACCCAAAGAGTGTGAGTTCAATTAACAGGAAATAACTGATAACTAGCATCATATTAAACATGACACGTGGAATTAGGACAGTCTACACCAGTGAGCGAAATAAAGGGATCAGTTCGACATTCCAACCACCTGAAGAAGTTCAGAGCGTACAACGGCCGAAACGGTGTAATAAATATGGCGACAAAGATGAGGATGACAGTCCGAATAATGTAAATAGTGTGTATAATACCTCATCTGAGAAATATAGACAGATACAGAGTAGCTTTATTATGTTAAAATTTTGGTCAGTCTCCTTACGATGTACAAGCAGTGCATTTGACGTATTATTTTATGAAATGTCTCTTTTGTATTCATATAATCTTTTATTAGGTTTCTTGTGGTTTATATTTATGTGTGTGTGTGTGTTTGAGAGAGAGAGAGATAGCATTTTTTAATAGTGAAGATGATGATGCTTTCCCGAAATTTATTCATCTTCAGAGAAAGGAAGCAGTCTTTAAAGGGACAAAAATGTGCTCAACATTTTGAAATTAACGAATAGAATATCGAAAATCAACGGATGAAAAGGCTGATGATAAAACGCTGAACAGAAGGGATCATATAGCAGAGCTTTGCCACTAGTCCCTTCCCTGGAAGATGATTCCAGACGGAATTGAAAGTTCCACAGACCATTGTAAACTCCAATATATATATATATATATATATATATATATATATATATATATGAAAGGGAACATTGAATTCATCACTCAGAAGCGACAGATTGTTTCATGCTAAACGGAATCATCAGGCCACATGCGTTGCTTTTTTTCTCGGCTATTTATATATACGGGTCGGTGATGCATTGTGGGAAGTATATTGGATTGTGGGTAGTCTATTCTAATGGTTATTTTGGTGGGAGCGGTTTTTTTATTTTTTTAATTTTTTTATTTATTTATTTGGATTAATTCATTTTACTTATTTTTGCCCATTTATTTTTTATTTTTATCTTTATTTATTCTTTTCAGTTTTCTATTTTTAAGTACCGTAGTAAAATTAGTTTTCGTGTTTACATTTTTTGATGAGTTCTGATCCTTTATATAGCATTTTGTTTTGGTCTGGGAAGGTAATTATAGTTATTTTTTCCTTCAAGCAGAGTTTGCAGTCTTTGAATTGATTGTTATAGGCTGATGTTATTTTCCTTATTTTCCATAATATTTTTGGTGTGATTTACTTTTTGTTTTTAATTTCCCAGATACACATGGAAAGTATTGTGCTGCTCACGTATTTGCTATTTGTGAAAGATGTTTTGTGTGCGTAGTTTCTTTGCTTCCAGGGTTTTTCAGTTACTCGTATGTATATTTTTCTTCGTTATCTGATGGTTTTACCGTGGCTTCATATATTACATTGTTTTGTAAGCAATTGCCGTTTCAGGGACATTTGTTCTTTATTCTGCAGTTACACTTGGGTGTAATTTGTTCGGGTGGTTTGTTGATAATCTTTGCTGTTGGGGTTTTTTATTATTTGTGTCATGTTCGCGGTGCAAATCTAGCTGCGTTTTACTGTGTTTTTCTTGAATACTTTGTTGAGAATGCTTGATTCGTGGAAGTGTTTGTGTAAATGTTTGATGAATATTTTTCTACGTTTGTTTTTAGTATTTTGTTGTACGGTAGGTTGAACCAAATGTTTCTTTTCCTGTTGTTTTTTTTTTTTTTTTTTCCTCTGTGGTGTGTCGTAGCTTGGAAAGGTTGATAAACACTGGTTTAGTAGGATGCAAATCCTAATTTAGAAAACGTCTTGACTTTTGCATGGAAGGTTTCTCTTTGCTTACTTACATGAAGAAATTACTGAATAAATCTGAGAGAGTGATAGAAAGAGAGGGAGAAGAGTGAAATAGATAGATAGATAGATAGATAGATAGATAGATAGATAGATATGTATGTATGTATGTATGTATGTATGTATGTATGTATGTATTGGGATAGATAGATAGATAGATAGATAGATAGATAGATAGATAGATAGATGACTATCAGTTCGGCGCTTCAGTCCGAACTTCTGACGAACAAAATGTGAAGGCATAGTTCCATCTCCTTCCACGTAATCCTCACGGGACCCATATATACAACATGCTATCAAACTGGAAACAGCCTCAACAGGAACGCCCACAATCCATTAATAAAGATACCATAAAAAATATCCTTCCATGTACGACTCTAGGAAGTACCTTATTCCATCTTTAAAGGCGCCATATCAGAGTACAACTGAAGTATTGCTCTCATAACTGAACTTGGGCTGCACAAAGCTCACTTTCCAGATTCGACAGACATCAGAAGAGCCTTGTGGTTGATGAATTATTTTCAATCCTACAAATCCTTTCCCTATTTTCGCTAGCCTATTGTTGCTTTATCGCTATTTTCATAACAATATTCCTTACTTCCGCCAGTTCAGACCTTTACAGCTCAGACACGCCATACCACGCACACAGGTTAGACTCATTCTCGTTCCTTTCCTATTCCATTAGTAAGGAGGAAGTTCCATTCAGACAGTTTCTTCTAGAGAACATAATTTGTGGTGCATACTCCCAAGAGAATGTTTCCTTGGCCATTACAATCTTAACCTTTTCAAGTCTGGCGTCGTGCGTCATCTATGTTACGTATGTTCATAATCTGCACTTCTAACCTCACCCTTTGCGCCAATACAACAACCACGTTCCCTAACCCTATATATTGAGTGACTCTCGGGCCTTGTATTGGGTGACCGACAGTTAAAAAATTAATCCGCAAAATAAAAATATAGAATAAGTAATTGGGAAAAATGTAGCAAATTAATTGTAAAAAATATCATAATTTTTTCGGGGGTACGGTGGAGTAATGGATATCGGCTTGGATTAAGGAATCGGCGAGTCGAGTTCGAATTCAAGTCGAGATCGTTATATTAAATTAAGTGTGTTGAGAAAGGTATGAATACATTTATTTTCCCCTCCAACTATGGGTAAAATAGCTGAACAAGCCGGGCCCTATAGCCTTTGATGGTAAGCAGGTAAATCTGTAAATTCAAAATGAGCCTGGATAGGATTGAGCTTTCCAGTATTTCTGCGGTTAGTTCATTGTGAAAACAAAATGCTGCCCCTCTCTGATTCTCTTAATGCTACAAGTAGTTCATCACGTAAACTAGTTTTCTTCTGTAATGATTTCAATTTCACTATAGCTTTAAGAACGGATATTTTAAAAGTATGTAACAACATGTACAAAATTTAAGAAAATGGGAAGGATAGTAATGGGAAAGTAAAACTAGAGAATCAGGTGTAAAAATCACAGACAGATTATATTTAGACCGAGCAGCCATTCTTTTTAGTTACAGGAGAAAGGCTGCTTAGACTTAATATATATTGTTTCAAGAATTATCAAATGGTAAATTCGAATGCGCTCTGCTGATTATGGTAATAGAAACCTGGTGATTTTCGATTTCTCTAAGTGGGGGCGCTGCTAAGACATGTGCAAGATATGTTTCTTATATGTTTTTGTACTGGATATACCGAATCTTAAAATACTGTTTCTTTATTAGAAGCCTTTTGAGATAATGTGTACGCATAGCGTAGAGGTCATTGCTATAGACAGTGGTATCAGCGAGCCAAGTTTAAATTCCGAAACAGGTCGCTGTTTTTTTTTTGGGAAGCCATTTCTACTCTACCAGCTTTAGTTTAAATAGAAGAATTGCCCAGGGGAAAGGTAGCTCGGAATTTAAAATCGTTTGGGACTAGTAGTTTCATACTCTAAAAAGCATACTTGCTACAGATCTTTCTTATCAAACCGGGTAATGAACGTTGTCTTGAATGGTCACTCTTCCAGATCATTTCGCATTAATAAAGGCGTCCCACAGGGCTTTATTCATGGAGCAACTCTGTTACTTATTTTCATCGAAAACCTTTTCCTGATATCATAAATTACCGGCTCGGTATCTATGCTGACGATACAGCTGCTTACTCCTGTCATCATAATAAGATCGGATAGTTTCGATAAAATCAAATTGGGAGCTGATCTCAGAAATGATATGCAACCTGTTTTTAAATGGCGCGAGGAGTAGCTTGTTAATTTTAACGCTTCCAAAACGAATCCGCTCTCTGTTAATAATCTTAAAGAACTTATATTGCTTTCCATCAAAATGCTCAGGCTAAACTCCAGTAGAGCAACTCATTGCGCCTTCTTGTTCTAACGTTTTCCATCGACCTGCAGTGGAAGGATGATATCGAAACAATGGCTGAATCTGCTGCGACGAATATCCGTTCACGATGATGTGCGAGACTATTTTTCTCGGTAGAATCTATTTTGCACATTCATAAGTCTACCATCCGTCCATCCATGCATTGAATATTGCTGCCTCTTCTAGTTTGGCGCTTCTACGATGTGTCTGGAGATTCGTGACAAGATCCAAAGAAGAACCTGCAACTTTATCGGTCCTGATCTGGCAGCTCGGCTTCAGTCACTTTCCTCCAGTCATAGTCTAACCCTCCTGGGTATAACGGTAAACTACATCCGCGTCCTGGGTAAGACGATAAACTATGTCCAACAGTAAGGCCTCTGATCAGGAGGTTTTGAGGAACCACCTCTTAATTGCTGGTGTTCCAGATCCACCCTGACCCGGCGTGGTAGCACCTGTTAGGGTTCCAGCTATGGGCAAGTAGCTAACTCCCAGATTATTTCCACGTCATGTGTATGACAATAAACTACATCCGCGTCCTGGGTATGGCGATAAACTACATCCAACGGCAAGTCCTCTGATCAGGAGGTTTTGAGGAGTAAGGAACCACCTCTTAATTGCTGGTGTTTCCAGGTCCACCCAGACGCTGGGTTCTCGCACCTGTTAGAGGGGGGGGGGTCCCAGATATGGGCAAATAGTTAACCCCAAAACTGGGATCAAAACACTATGAGAGTGTAAAAATAGGTTTTAATACCAGAAAAAACTTTGTAAAAAAACATATAACAAGCGTTACATTTTTGAAGAAAAAATATTACCAGAAATAGATTTTTGAAGGAAAAAAAAATTACCAGCAATACATTTGAAAAAAAAAAAAATTCAGCAATAAAAATCTTGTCGGCATTAAATAACCCATTGAGGTTGATATGCCGTAAAACAAAATAAAACAGTGTAACTTCGTTTTACCTCTTTAATAAAGATTTTTTTAAAATCATTTCACCTCAAGCAAGTAGGGAATGCCACTAGTTCGCAGAGGTGGAGGAAGATTCTAGTTATCAGGGAGCCAAATAAGCGTAAGGAAGTTCTACAGGTGGGAAGTGCGAGTAAAGAAACTGTTGCAGTAAAAGTAGCGGTTGCATTTAGCTAATTCAAAAGTAAAAGTTTGGGACCTACATGACAATTAGTAGCACGCTTAAATTCATGTACATCTCGATTGTGGAATTTTATTCAGGAATCTCGCTTTTCTGTCAATTACGATTTTCAAAAAATGAAATGCAACACAAATCGTCATCTTCTATCTTCTTGAATGTCGTTCTTTCATTGTCCTCACTGTTTTTCTCATTTTCATTTACCACTGGCACCTCAGTGGCTTTTATTGTCCTGCTTAAAGTTAAATGATTACAAAAAAAAAAAAAGAAGTAAAAAACACTACAACAAAACTAGCGGGGTAAGACCGTGACTTTATATTTTATATATAGTGGGAAGGACTCTTCTTTCTATGCTAGGAAGTATGAAGATGTTATCAGCTGATCTCTCCTCTGACCGAGCTCTAACAGATCAGTGACTGAAAAATTGGCTGGTCACATTTAATGGCTCAAAAACCAAACCAGTGGCATTCCATCATCACTGAACGGACCTTGATTTTCAGCTTATCGCGATGGACAAATGATCTCACAGAGAGGTTCCGTACCTTGAACGTCTATTGGAACTTAAATTCAACACAGACCTTAACCTGAAGTCGTAAATACGATCTGCTAAAAATTGTGGAAAACTGTTAGGTTCCATGTACCGCTCCAGTAAATACGTGACTCCTTGAAAGAGCCAATAAAGTTTTTACTTAATAACAATATCCCCTAGACGATTCGATTTAATACTGAATTTAAAAAAAAAAATTAATTTAAAATAAATGAAAACAATTTTTGTATAAATTCATTATTCATCGAAAATATTTTCCATAATATAACTTATTCATAAAAGCTATTAAAGGGTTTTCGAATTAAATAATATCTTAATTTTATTCCATTTTTTTTTTTTTTTTTTTTCACAATTCAGAGCAGATTTTCAATACCGGGGGTGGCAAAAGAAATTTAAATTCACCAAGGATTCCTGATTAGAATTCGTATAAACAAGAAACCATACAAAGAAGAATTTCTCAAAATTTCCTAATATTAAATAAGTATATGTTGGTGGAGGTAACAGATGTAAAAATTATATTTTTACCAAGACATTTAAAAAAAGATACATTTTTAAAATAATTTCATTCATTTGTGAATAAAATAAAATGAAATCCGACAATATTTGATTTTTGCAACAATTTCCAACTAAATGTGTTTTTCACCACATAAAAGACACTAAAATGTAATATGCTAAATGATAGTCACCCGCTGAAGCAAAAAAAAAATACTGAATGTTCTAAAAGGGTTAAAAATAACTTGATAACCAAAAAAGCCTTTGCTCTCTCTCTCTTTCTCTCTCTCTTTCTCTCTCTCTTTCTCTCTCTCTCTCTTTCTTTGTCTCTCTCCTTGTCTCTCTCTTTCTTTGTATCTCTCTCTTTCTCTCTCTCTCTCTCTCTCTCTCTCTTAATAATAACAAAGATTTTGACGACATTTTGGGGCATATTTTCACACATGCACGCAGGCACGCACACAAAGACATATATGTGATAGAAATTATTAGGAGGATTTGAATAATCATAATTAAGTAATTCATTGAGTTTAGAAGAATCCTCAACTGCTTGAACCGGTTTCTAATGCTCTGGATGCAGCGGCTTGGGGATAGATGATGTGATTCGTGGGGGCACAGTTCATTGGGATAAGTAGACTTGGATGAGTTACACGACGGAAATTGTGAAGAGCGGCGCTATATCGAGTTTAGTTTATCACTCG